GAAGGTGGCAGCACCCTCATGCAGGTTCTGAGGCCTTGTATCTGCATGCGAAACATGGTGAGAAGGTGGCAGCACCCTCATGCAGGTTCTGAGGCCTTGTATCTGCATGCGAAACATGGTGAGAAGGTGGCAGCACCTTCATGCAGGTTCTGGTGCCTTGTATCTGCATGCGAAACATGGTGAGAAGGTGGCAGCACCTTCATGCAGGTTCTGGTGCCTTGTATCTGCATGCGAAACATGGTGAGAAAGTGGCAGCACCCTCATGCAGGTTCTGGTGCCTTGCCCGCAGGTGTGCCAGGTCAGCGCCCAGCAGCCCGTGCAGACTGAGCTGCTGATGCGGTACCACCAGCTGCAGTCCCGTCTCACCACGCTGAAGATTGAGAATGAGGAGGTGACGCCTATTCCTGAGCTGGCCAGGCAGCCAGTGTGTGTAGCGCAGGAGGTCTCCTTTGCCCCTCGAGTGTGTTTGTTACTGACCGTTGGGATTTGGTTTCATTTCACACATTGATATCCTTCCTAACGGTAAATGTATTCAGATGCTGGTAACAAAAGTAATACCTCTGCAGCCCACATTGATGTTGGGATAATTTTCTGTCTTATATCTGGCTGCTATTGGATGACCCGTGGCATCTTAGAAAAGTGATATATTAATATCTCTGTGAAACAATGAGGAGCCCAGAGCCATCGTAACCCCGAATCTTCGGGGTCTCCATTTGTAGCTGCTAGGCTGAGGAATGTGTCTTCCAAGGGTAGGCCTGTTTGCAGCCCAGGAGCCATCACTGCAGGCCCCTCAGGGTAAGCCTGTTTGCAGCCCAGGAGCCATCACTGCAGGCCCCTCAGGGTAGGCCTGTTTGCAGCCCAGGAGCCATCACTGCAGGGCCTTTAGGGCACAGAGTCAGGATGCTGAATTTTTCATGCACATATTTCTCTCAGTTTAATGCTACCTATGGAGTGGATAGAGCAGTACTAGGGTCTCCTTATGCATATAAAATCAGCTCAACAACAGCAGAAGTCAAAAGTTTTTGTTTTTGGTCATTGCTTGACCCTATTTATCATGTAGATGGAGCAATAATGATTTTGTTACTGGCTTTCAGTAATCTGTCATCATTCTTGGTATTACAGTGAGGAAGGGGGCTGTTCTGCAAACTGTGAGGGAGGTCTAGAATATTTATTTTGGGGTCAATGTAGCATGTTTGTCTGTCTGTCTGTCTGTCTATCTCTCTATTTATCTCTCATTATTTTTTACTGACTGTATTTTATGGGTTTTCCTTCATAGGTGAGGAAGACGCTGGATGCCACCATGCAAACGCTGCAGGACATGCTGACGGTGGAAGACTTCGATGTGTCTGACGCATTCCAGCACAGCCGCTCCACCGAGTCCATAAAGTCTGCTGCCTCTGAGACCTACATGAGCAAGATGAATGTCGCAAAGCGCCGAGCCAATCAGCAGGAGACTGAAATCTTCTACTTCACGGTGAGCTGGAGTGTGCTGGGCTGGGGCACGGCATATTATTTTATTGATTTCTTTTGGCTGTTTGGGCAGGGAAGAGCCACCAGGTCCCATTCTTAACATCAGTGAAGTGTATTAGGCTTGTGTTGTTCGCAGTCACAAAATGTTGCCTCCTTTTCTGTGGTGTGATCTGTTCCCTTAGATCAGTACATTGTGTGTTTTCACAGAAATTCAAGGAATACCTGAACGGCAGCAACCTCATCATTAAACTGCAGGCGAAACATGACCTCCTGAAGCAGACACTGGGAGAAGGTGAGAGTGTTAGGGTTAGGGTTGGGGTTAGGGTTAGGGTTAGGGTGCAGCTTCTCTCATGTGGCAGCCACGTTAAGGCATTCGCTCTGAATGGAAGTGCTGCAGTTATGGAGCACAAAGTGTAGCAATGGGTCACACAGTAGTAGGCGAATCCATGTGGCCATCTTGGGGAAATTCAGTCAGTAGCCCATCTTCATCCTGATAATGGGCTTTTGTTTAATACACCCTTCCCAAGCTCTGATAGAGAGAATCGGCTTCCCCTGGGAGTCCGTCACCATGAAATAGGCTGTTACAGTCAATCAATCAGCATGTCATCATACAGACTGTTTGGCAGGTGCCTCTATTCCAGGTATTAATGTAATGGGAGCAGCTGACATCCCAGCCCAGCTGAGTCCAGCTGCCCAAATGCAAACCCCCCGCCCAAAAGGACACCCCCCCCCATATGGTCAATTACAGCTTAATCCCATCGCCCATCGCTCTTTGCTCACATCATCTCTCACACGTGAGTCTATTAGGAGCCTGTCAGGGTCACGGTCGATGGCACCTTCTTGGTCTTCATTTATTATTACGTGTAAAAAAGGCCTGGCTGGTCTTTCTGACCTCCATAGTGTAACTGAGGTGCTTGATCGGTCCTTCTCAATGAAACCTCTGTCTCTTGAATATTTGATGAAACCGCACGATTACAGCCATGAATTAAAACGACAACTGGACATTTCTGTTACCTCTATTATAGGAGGTTGCAGTTTGACAAGTAGTGATAGTGATGCTTCATTTTAATGCACGTTGATTTGAGTGATTTTCTGCTGAGTAGACAAGAACAGTTTTTAAAAGAATGATAACGGATAGCTTCTGCCAGCTGTATCTTCTAAGTTGTCTACCCGAAACACCAGATTTTTGACTATTCATGCGCCTTGGAGAGGTTTGATAATAACATCCTAGATAAGCATCTTTCTCAGAATCCAGCCCCCCCCCCCTACTCCCCGACTGTGTGCTGGGCAGCTGGAGCTCCCTGAAGCATCACTGCCTAGATGTGTATGAAGTCCAGTTTGATAAGTGCTCCGTAAGGCCAGCTGAATGGCAGAGATCCTCTTCCTGTTATTATATGGGCCCTTCTGAGGTCTCTACGGCAACCGTGCAGGGTCTTTGTCTCAGGAATTATGTTTGCAGAGAGCCATTCAGTTGGGCTTGAAAAGCCCCCCTTTTTCCTCTGGCTCACACCCTCCCACTCGGCGCTCTGGAAGCTTAACAATCCCATGGTGCATGTGCTCCTATCCCCCTTGCCGCTTTCATTCCTTAATTCTCTCTCTTTGTGATTGCAGGGGAAAGGGCCGAATGTGGAACAACCAGGTAAGAATATTTAATGTCAACTATCATCATTAACTCCCAAAACAAAAACAGACAATGAGGGGCAGCTCCTGCATGCTGACCTGCCTGCTGAAAGGCTCAGCACTGCCCTGTGGCCTGCTGGAAGGATCAGCACTGCCCTGAGGCCTGCTGAAAGGATCAGCACTGCCCTGAGGCCTGCTGAAAGGGTCAGCACTGCCCTGCGGCCTGCTGAAAGGCTCAGCATTGCCCTGAAGCGTGCTGAAAGGCTCAGCATTGCCCTGAAGCCTGCTGAAAGTATCAGCACTGCCCTGAAGCCTGCTGAAAGTATCAGCACTGCCCTGAGGCCTGCTGAAAGGGTCAGCACTGCCCTGAGGCCTGCTGAAAGGGTCAGCACTGCCCTGAGGCCTGCTGAAAGGGTCAGCACTGCCCTGAGGCTTGCTGCAAGGTTCAGCTCTGCCATGAGGTTGTATATTGAACAGAGCCAGTGCACAGTTCCCTGGATATGGCAAGAAACAGACTAGTGGGCTGACCTCCCAGTGTTCCCAGGAGGCCACTGTCTGCTCCCCATCTACGGGGCAGATGGAACTTTATACTAGCTTCTGGGCACAGCATGCAATCAAAAACCACTGCAGCGCATTAACCCATGATGGAAATCCCAGTACAGAGACACCAGTTCATTTTTGAAGGTGAATATTTTGGCTAGTGATGGACAGCAAATCCCATTTTTACAGCTTGGTAGATGCTGAGAAAAATCTTTTAAAATTGTCTCTCCCAAATGCTACACTTAAAAAATTCAAGTGCTGCAGTATTTAAGCCTTTTGATAAGATATGTTAGAAGTATCAGTGTTGACCTACATTGCCTCCAAACATTGAGTGGCAGCAGTGGATTTTAATATAATGACCCAGCTGACTCTCTGATGTGCTTGAGAAGCCAGCCACCATTTGTAAAAGCTTGGCCAGACTCTTGTGGGGTACCGTGTCACTGAGCAGGAGCGGGAATGGCTCCAGGGTGCCGCAGGGCGTGCAGATCCCCGGCCATGAGAAATTAATCCCAGAATAAAGCTGGGCCATCGGAGGAGCTGAAGACAAAACAATGGGCCCTCCACCTATTTCTGGGCCATGTTAGCTGACCATCTGTGAGTGGGACAGGCCTGTCGTTTCTCGCTGGAAGCCAAAAGCGACTCTGAGTCACGGTGGTAGACATGAAGGAGGTGGCTCGTGTTTTTCATGGCGGAACTTGGCAGGATCTTAAGCAAACAGCATGACCCAAAGTGGTTTCTAAGTGTCAATGGAGAATAAGCTTTTGTCCTGGTCTTGCTCAGGCACCTCGCAGCACAACCTTGCGATATTTGTATTTCACAAAAACATTTAACGAGAGTAGAAAAAAACAATGTGGGAATTCTAAAGGCACTAAAATAATTTTTTAAAAGAAAAATATATAATCTGCCTGCCACAACAGTTTATATATATGTGTGTGTGTGTGTGTATACACACACACACACATCACATATATATCTTTAATTTGTTGGTCTCCTTGGTAACCCATTAGCACATTAGCAGATTTTAATAGCTTGTTGAAATGTTAGCAGTTGAAAGAGCAGACTTCATTCCTGCAGAGGATATTAAGGTTTAATTAGGGGACACATTTGTAATGAGACACTATGCCAGAGTTATTCAAATCACGGTCCTCGAGGTCCGAGCACTGCTGGTTTTCCAGCCTTCCTTTACCTGTCAGTCAGGTGTGAAGCCTCTGACCAATCATAATCAGTAATTATTAAACTAACTACCTGGGAGAACTGAAAACAAAGCCTGGACTTGGAATCGAGGTCCAGATTTGAAGAACCTTGCACTATGCGTTATGGAATCTGGAGTACAGGCGATTAGCGCATCAGAGGCCATGTGAGCCTGACTGTAAGCATATCCTGTGTTCTCAGGTTTCACTCTATTTAGTGTTTTCCCCTTCATCATTTCCCCAGGCCCCCCACACTTCCCCCTAAGCCACAGAAAATGCGGAAGCCTAGACCCCGCTCCGTGTATAACCATAAGCTGTTTAATGGCAATATGGAGACCTTCATCAAGGTACCCTCCGGTTGTGGTGTGTGTATGAGCGCCCCCTGGTGGGCTGGATGGACTGGCAGCTTGGGGCCTCTTCTATTGCTCTCCCTCATCCTATAATTGCTGATTAATCTCACTTTGACTCCGCTGAATTCCTTTCCATGGCTCTCATAATGCAGCTTACAGTAGCACCGCCGAAGGCATTGAAAGGCAGGTAAAGTGGGAGTGTTAGCCTTAGTCCCAGCTGGCAAACGGTGATAGGAGGGATGCTGGCAGAGCGAGGGTGCAGGAACACACTCCTGTACGGGACGACTGGCCTGGTGGTATCTGCTCCCTGCTCCTGCTGTATGCTGGAGTGTCCCCCCACATTTGCACTCTGCCACACCCCCCCAGAGCGCCCCGTCCCTTGTAGCCCACTGTGCCCCTGCCTCTCCAGCCATCCTCAGCGTACCCCTCTCTGCTTCTCTAACCGTTGTGCTTCTTGCTTCCCTTCTCCTGCTTGCTGCTCTGCTGTTTTCTGTCCAAGGGGAAGAAGGAATACCCGGGCACGCAACCAGGTACACTCTACTGGGATGTTCCGCACGGGGACTGCACTCAGCTTGCCCACTAATCGCATTCTGCCCTGTTTCTCTTCTTGTTTGCTGTTATACTAATGACACAAAGTGCATTGCAGGACTGTGAGGGAGGGTAATATGGCCCCTGGCTTTGACACTGGGTGTAATCTGGCGCTTTTCCACAGCCATACAAGAACTGAGCCACACCCAAGCCGCACCATGAAGAGGGACTAGTTACAGCACAGTTCCAACTCGCTTCGGTTTTCCACTGCAGAAGGGTCGGCTCGGCAAAGACGTTGTCGGGTTCAGAGAGTGACAGTGACGTAAAACCCAAGAGCTTATTTATTATTCACACAATCTACATCATGATTTACTAATCTGCTCATTTCTGATAGCACGTCTGTGAAAATTGTCGTCTTATGTTAGCATCAAATACTAGCGGAATTAGCCTTTGCTTGCGTATATTTGTATTACGAATCCATTCCATTCATCCGTTCAATAGTACTTTGTTAAGTAGGAGGTTGTAAATTTTCAAGTTCCCAGTTTTTGGCAATGCATCATGATGTGCCATACTACTAATAATGAATAATATACAGAATATACACTTTTTCCTTCAGATAGTCCATGTACAGAACACCAGTACCTCCATGCATTTCAACCAATCAGATGGTGGTGATGCTCGGCTTGGGCATGCTAAATAGGGCTATGTCAGTGCGGTGACGGCTCTGGTGTGGTTTACATAATTTGCAATAGATAACCATCATTTCGAGGCACACATTGGTCCTGGGTGACAGTGGAAAAGCGCCTTTTGATAAATAAGGTGTGTGAGTGTCAGGGAGGGAGGGGTGTTAAAGTATTTAGAGTGTTTTTTGCCTGAATGCTAGGTTGTGTCGTGCTTTTTTGTCATTTGGATGAATTGTGAAAATGTGTTTGTGTTGACTTTTTGCATTGAGTTTTATAAGTTATCATACGTTATACAGGAGACCAAAAAGGGTATTAGACTTGCCCTAACAGAGCTGAATTACAAATATAATGGAGTGATTGATCATTGATGATGTCAGTAGCTGGTGCTAAGCAAGGCTTGCCCTGTATTTCAGGATTCAGGTCAGGCTATTCCTCTCGTGGTGGAGAGCTGTATTCGCTACATCAATCTGTATGGTAAGTAGACTGTGGTTAATGTGGCAACTTGGCTCTTAAAGTTACTTATAGTTTCAGATAGACAGCATCAAATGTGTGTTTCTGTGAGAGACCTGGTTTTCAGTGTGTTTCTGTGAGAGAACTGGCCTTCCATGTGTATCTGTGAGAGACCTGGCCTTCATTGTGTATCTGTGAGAGACCTGGCCTTCTGTGTATATCTGTGAGAGACATGGCCTTCAGTATGTATCTGTGAGAGACCTGGCCTTCTGTGTATATCTGTGAGAGACATGGCCTTCAGTATGTATCTGTGAGAGAACTGGCCTTCTGTGTGTATCTGTGAGAGACCTGGCCTTCATTGTGTATCTGTGAGAGACCTGGCCTTCTGTGTGTATATATGAGACCTGCCCTTCCATGTGTATCTGTGAGAGACCTAGCCTTCAGTGTGTGTTTGTGAGAGAGTTGGCCTTCAGTGTGTATCTGCGAGAGACCTACCCTTCCTTGTGTATCTGTGAGAGACCTTGCCTTCTGATTGTATTTATGAGAGACCTGCCCTTCCATGCGTATCTGTGTGAGACCTAACCGTCAGTGTGTGTCTGTGAGAGACCTGGCCTTCAGTGTGTTAGGGCTGGATAGAACGGCTTCTTCATAATTTTAATCATTTAAATTTTTTGTCTGAAAATTAGATTTGGAGTTTGAATGAAGTTAGGCAAGCATGCTTCTTGTGGGCAAAGCAGTTTCCTAAAGATTTAACTCCACCACACACAGAGATGAGGGTCAAGTAAATTGATTAAGAAATTAAGTCATGGGTGATGCATAGTGAGGTTTATATGAGGCCCATTTATCCTTTGAACTGCTTGTCTGTCTTCATTTGTGACTCTGTTTGCGGTGTGTGTTAGAGCTGGTCCCCTTCCTGGGGTTAGAGTGAAATCACAGAAAGCAGGTTTGTAACTAAAACCATGTGCTTTCTGAGCCTGGGTGAAGGCTAGTGGGGGCTAGTCCTGGAAAAAACGGCAGTTTGTGACCAGATTACATTTCCTGTTCTCTATTACGTCCCCAGATTACTTTCATGTGGCGACTTCTCCAGTTTGAAGATAACAGCCATTTGACTTGGCTGTGCATGTCTCTTTCTTTAGGTCTGCAGCAGCAGGGAATATTCAGAGTTCCTGGCTCTCAGGTCGAAGTCAACGATATTAAAAATTCATTCGAGAGAGGTGAGATGTGAAATGCACAACTTTTATTGCTGATGGCATTGAATTCCAATTCAGCTTCCTTGTTGAGTTATCAATCAGCAGCAGTAAGCATGTGAATTAACATCACACACGTATACAGTATAGCGTGTCTATTTAGATGTGTATATATGCCATTTCAGAAAACTCCAAGCAATTACTATAGCCATTACAATATTTTAATTAATATCTTGACAGCAATATTAATCTTAAAGACTAACATTGAAGCAAAAAAACAAACTTCCAGAAACTTCATACAAGTTCACTGTTGTTTTATTTTTGCTTTATATTCACTGTGTGGTTGGTCAGCCGTACACATTCCTTTGTGAGAGACGGTAGTGTCTAGGATGCTAAAGTCCTCAGGTGAGTGCTTTTCCTCCAGGAGAAGATCCTCTGATTGATGACCAGAACGACCATGACATCAACTCTGTGGCAGGGGTGCTGAAGCTCTACTTCCGCGGCCTGGAGAACCCCCTCTTCCCCAAGGAGCGCTTCTTGGACCTGATCTCCACTATCAGTATGTTCTTCCCTCTGGCCAGAGCTCAGAGCTTGGGCCATTGAAATAAAATCCCAGTTCTGATTTCCATGGACCGCATAGCCACGCATTGTGTTCTTGTTCTGCTTGTTTCATCATGAAATTGTCACCCTAAGACCATCGCCTGTGCTGGGATCGCCGACTTGGCCCAATCTCCATTATATAACGCCCCCGCAGTCTCCTTGCTGGGATACCGGAGCCCACTTTCCACAGAGATACCAAGTCAAGCATATGGAAGCAATTGAAATGCTTTGGCTCTGTGGCTGTGGCTGGACTGGAATTTAATCGATTGGGCGATGGAGGCAGGGCTGGGGCGCCTCGGATTTGCTGTTAAATACGGATTTGTGAAAACTTTTCTGGAACCCCATTATCAGAAGTTAACATTTTGCTGACTTGAAGAACGTCTATGTGTTCATTCACTTTATATTGTCTTTTAATTAGTAATATAAATTTGTCTTCTCTCTGGTATCTGAATTACATTCCAGTTCTGATTGTTTCTCAGTGATGATTCGCTTAGTAGTTTTGGCTGTTTAGTACTGTGTTTCTTCTTGGCATGTAAATGAAAAGCCTACTCGTGATCTTGTTCTTTTAGAACTTGAATCGTCTGTTGAGAGGGCCCACCATATCCAGCAGATCATCGTCACCCTTCCTCGCTCTGTCATCATCGTCATGAGATACCTGTTTGCCTTCCTTAACCAGTGAGTGTAAAGCTTGTGGCTGACTGCATTCACAAGCTGCAGAAAATGGCTTTTTCATTTTTTGTGAAGAGCAATCATGGAATAGGCCAGCCAAATTGTGAAATGTCAAGAAAAAGTGTTTCATATCTGTTCACAGGTTACTTCAAGTGGCACATTTCCATTGGTTTCGCACTTCTCCTTTTATGTTATTTGTAAAACAGGAACGTAATCTTTACAGAAGTAATATTCCTGTCCTTTTTCAGTGCACTGTTCTTGATGAAACCTTGGCCCTTAGCAGAGTGAAATTTTTCATTTTACATCTGGGGTTGTATTCTTTTTTTCACTTCCAGCTTTGAAACATTTCCAACAGCTGTTTTTTTATGAACCTTCTTCATTGTGTAGACAGGCCTAATCTGATCAGGAAGTCCCCTCAAAGGGGCATTCTAGTGAAGGCTTTCCACAGACCTGGGGCAGTAAGAGCAATTCTCACTGAGGGGTCTGACTCAATAGGTAGATCTTAGTTAGATGCAATAGGAAATTTATCTGGGGATGGGAATGAATGTGGGAGGACTACAAATGAAACAGAGCTGACCTGATTTTAGCAGGTGAGGGACCACAGGGGAGGTGGGTCACAGAAAGGTCTAGAGACCCTGGGGGAAGGTCAGCAGAATCCATAGTTGCATGGCTGGTGGTAAGGCTCAGGTTTAGTGAATGGCCATGTTGACCACCAAACCCCAGCCTGTCCCAAGATGGTCACGCCACTTACAGATCTTACAGTGTCATTTACAGGTGATTAATATCATCATGGCTGTGCCTGATGACAAGAACACTGGACAACATGTGAGAGGCTAATGTTTAAACTTAACCCGTAATCAGTTGTTACCATGAAATGACAGAATGATTTCAATGGCTGCCACTCCAGCTTATCGCAGTACAGCGACGAGAACATGATGGACCCCTACAACCTGGCCATCTGCTTCGGGCCCACACTGATGCCCATCCCTGACGGGCAAGACCCTGTGGCCTGCCAGGCCCATGTCAATGAGGTCATCAAGACCATCATAATCCACAACGAGATCATCTTCCCCAGCAACCGTGAGCTGGACGGGCCTGTCTATGAGAAGTGCATGGCGGGAGGCGAGGAATACTGGTCAGTGAGTCTGTGGACCGTAATGGGGGGGGGTTACCTTTGTCCTGTGTATCCATGGCTACTGCTCAGGGTAGAGCTTCATGGTTTCTCTTTTATACTTATGGAATAGGAATATAGCTGCGTGTATGGTAAATGCCCATTGAGCAGCAAATTTCAGTGTAGGACACTCATACCTTGGCTATGACTGTTGCACTGAAACTCACAGTCCTCCTCTGTCAATATCTTTCTAAAATATATGCTATTGTTTTAAATAATGTGCTTTTGTGTACCCCGTAACCCTGACTAGGATAAGCGGTTGCAGAAAATGGATGGGACGCGGTTTTCATGTGGAACTCTTACAGAAGCAGAAGTGATATTACAGTGTTATGTCATTCTCTGTGATGCCATCTTTATTTCTCCTCAGTGACAGCCCTCACAGTGAACAGGGCACCATTGATGAGGTGGACAATGGCACAGAGCCACACACTAGCGATGATGGTGAGACTTTAAACTTAAAAGCTTATGTATCACAAAGCACTTTATGAAGGTTTACCAAACTGAACAGCATGTACAGATATAACAACAATTAGAGTTAAAAAAATCCAAATGGGAAATGGTGGCAAAGAAACAGAACTATGGTATTTACAGTGAATATGTCTACACATGAATCATACTCAAATAACAAATACTGTACTAAAGATGTATTTCACATTGAAATGGCTTTGTTGATCAAGTACGAATTCCTGATTAAAAATGGAGTTACTTTTACTGATGTTATGTGCAATGCATTTTATAGCAATTCATAAATTAGCAAAAACGTATTGGTGACGTTTTCATGTCTTGCTTCCAAAAGAGACTTGAGTTCTGGTTTGACAGTTTTTGAGAGATAACAGTGATCTTTGCACATTTTATCTTTGCACTTAATCCCCTCCATGTTTAATCTCTCATTCGGGTAACAATAAGCTTTAAGGTCACAACTAAAGTTGCAGTTGCTAAAAAGGAGGAGTCTTATAATCAAGTTCTATGTGACATAATAGTTTTGGCTCTGAGTTATGATGGGGGGCAGCATGGTGGTGCAGTAGTTAGCGCCGTCACCTCACAGGTCTGGGATCAGGGTTCAAGTCTCTGCCTTGGCTCTGTCAATTGCAGCATTTTGATCATTTTCATCTCTGCTTCAGCTCCAGTTTTCAGTGTTTTCACACATTACACAAAAGGTCCATGAAATCTACTGAGGTGTTTCCTCAATCAGTTGTTTCCAGACAGAGTAATATTTCCCTCAGTGAAGCTCTCTTTTGAAATGTCCTCTGCCCTCTTCTTATGTGTTATTCATTACTAAAAGGAGTCCCCATTAGAGCTCGCTTGTTAACATCCCATAGATAATGGGATTGACCTGGAATATTTCAGGATGTACATCCACTTCCTGAGAAAGGAGCCTCCTTTGAGTGCTGCAGCTGTTAAAAACACTATTTTTTTTTTCATGTTTTGGATGGTTCTTGGGCAAATGATAGGAATCCCAAACATGGATGGAGACAGCTTGTGAGTGCTGCCCCGCCCCCTCATACACGCACACACGGGCAGACACACAAACAGACGCTCCTGGCTCGCTGCCTTGCCCCAACCCATTACCCTTTTTTACTTTGTTCACGGTCAGCAAACAAATCCCACAGGCTTTTCCTTTGTTTTGTGTTTTCCGGCTCCTGCCTTTGCAGATAAACGCCAGTAAACGGACTCAGAAACCCAGGGTATGGATAGTCTTGGTGACAGCATCAGATTGTAGACAGTTGGGTTAAGAATGTATAAAAATGTCTGCCATCTGTGGCCAGGAAATGGTTAAGCCTATTTTTTCTTAAACATCACTTTGTAGAGTCTGTCTGCATTGAAATCCTCGGACGGGTCCATCCTCGCTAGGCTAGGGGAGGCTCAGACGCTGCGATTTGTATGAAATCCTCGGACGGGTCCATCCTCGCTAGGCTAGGGGAGGCTCAGA